GGTCTCCATCTCCTGACCTCATCATCTGCCTGCCTCGGCCTCCCCAAGTGCTGGAATTACAAGCTTAAGCCACCACGCCCGGCCATTTATTTTTATTTTTAGAGAGAGAGTCTTGCTGTGTTACCCACTCTGGTCAGGAACTCCTGGAGACCTCAAGCAATCCTTCCACCTTAGCTTCCCGAAGTGGTGGGATTACAGGTGTGAGCCTCTGTGCCTGGAACTTGCTTTTTGGTTAATTGAGGTGAAAATTGTATAACATAGTTAACCATTATTTTTTATTTTATTTCTGCATTGATTTATTTTTTTCGAGACAGAGTTTCGCTCTTGTTGCCCAAGCTGGAGTGCTGCAGTAGCTTGATCTCGGCTCACTGCAACCTCTACCTCCCAGGTTCAAGTGATTCTTCTGCTTCAGCCTCCCAAATAGCTGGGATTATAGGTGCCTGCCATGCCCGGCTAATTTTTTAAATTTTTAGTAGAGACAGGGTTTCACCATGTTGGTTAACTGGTCTCGAACTCCTGACCTCAGGTGATCCACCCTCTTTGGCCTCCCAGAGTGCTGGGATTACGGGCATGATTGCCACTCCTGGCTTTTATTTATTTGTTTGTTTATTTATTTATTTTTGAGAATAACCATTTTAAAGTATACAGTTTGGCAGTATTTAGTGTATTCACAATGTTGTACAACTACCATATCTTTCTAGTTTTTAAACTTTTTGTGGGGGGGGGGCGGGCACGGTGGCTCATGCCTGTAATCCCAGCACTTTGGGAGGCCAAGATAGGTGAATCACCTGAGGTCAGGAGTTTGAGAGCAGCCTGGCCAACATGGTGAAACCCCATCTCTACTAAAAATACAAAAATAGCTGGGTATAGTGGCAGGTGCCTGTAATCCCAGCTGCTCAGGAGGCTGAGGCAGGAGAATCGCTTGAACCAGGGAGACAGAGGTGCAGTGAGCTAAAATTGTGCCATTGCACTCCAGCCTGGGCAACAAGAGCGTAACTCCATCTCAAAAAATTAAAAAAAAAAAACAAAAACTTTTTCATCACCCCATAAAAACACCCTATACTCCTTAAGTAATCAGTCCCAAGCCAGATGTAGTAGCACAGGCCTGTAATCCCAGCCACTAGGGAGGCTGAGGCAGGAAGATCACTTGAGCCCAGGAGTTCAGCCTGCACAGTGTAGTGAGAAAGCATCTCTTTTTTTAAAAAAAGTAATCAGCCCCCCTTGCCCCCATTCTTCACCCTCTGGTAACCTCTAATTTACTTTATGTCCCTTTGGAGTTGCCTCTTCCGAATATATAAATATAAAAGGAATCATACAATGGATGGCCTTTGTGTCTTGCTTCTTTCACTTAGCACAATGTTTTAGAGGTTCATGGAAATTATAGCACATATCCATACTTTGTTTCTTGTTATATATGAATAGTATTTCATTGTTTGTGTATACCACAGTTTATCTACCCATCCATTGTTGAATATTAGGTTGTTTCCACCTTTTGGCTATTATGAATAATGTGATAGAAATATTCATGTACAAATTTCTGTGTGGACATATGTTTTCATTTATCTTGGGTGTATACCCAAAAGTAGAATTGCTTGCTCATATGGCAATTCTATGTTTAACTTTTCAAGGAACTGGGAAGTTGTGTTCTTATTCTAGTCATGTTTAAAATATTTTTAGAAACTCCTCTTTTTAGAATTACATTTAGAGCCTCAGTACTCTCAGGAATGGCAGATTACATCTTTTGAGTTAGATTTTTTTTTTTTCATTTCAATTGCTTTTAGGGTACCTGTGGGTTTGGGTTACATGGATGAGTTGTATAATGGTAAAACCTAAGATTTTAGTGCACCCTCCACCTGAGCAGTATACAGTGTACCCAGTGTGTAGTTTTATAGTCCCTCATACCCACCCTGATTTATTTTGTAAGTAAACAAATCATTGGAAGAAAAGTTTTGTGGATCAATTAGGTGAACACCAGTTTTATTTTTTTAAATATAGGTATAGTCAGCCAGGCATGGTGGCTCACGCCTGTAATCCCAACACTTTGGGAGGCTGAGGCGGGTAGATCATGAGGTCAGGAGTTCAAGACCAGCCTGACTAAGAAGGTGAAACCCCGTCTTTACTAAAAATACAAAAATTAGCTGGGCATGGTGGTATATGCCTGTAATCCCAGCTACTCAGGAGGCTGAACCAGAAGAATCACTTGAACCGGGAGGCATGAGCTGAGATCATGCCACTGCACTCCCGCCTGGGTGACAGAGACTTCATCTCAAAAAAAAAAAATTATGTAGGTCTAGTAATGGCTATTCAGTATTATGTTGATCTTGTGTGGCTGACAAACTGATTGTAAATTAGTATAAAGGAGGAATGTAATATATTTTGAGCAACATTAATAACAACTTAGATAAGAACATAGTAGGATTCCAATATAACTATATTTTAAGAAAAATCTTATTTGAATGTTAAGCATTCTAGTTGGGTTTTTTCTCTTTTTTTCACTGAGATAGGAAACAATTCATGTTTTAAAAAATATTACTTGGTCGTCTTTAAAGGATATATTTATATAAACCTACTGTTGCCTAACAAATATTTCTAATTTAATGTTAGATCTTAAATTTCCCACTAAACAATATATAATTATTTTCATGCAATTTCTTTCTTTCTTTCTTTTTTTTTTTTTTTAAAGACGGGGTTTCACCATGTTGGTAGGGCTTGTCTTGAACTTCCGACCTCAGGTGATCCACCCGCCTTGGCCTCCAAAGTGCTTGGATTACAGGCATGAGCCGTCACGCCCGGGCTTCATGCAATTTATAAGAAATTAATATAATTCATCAATTAATATGTGATTAAAGATATACTTTTAAAATTCACAGAGCCCACCTGTGTTAGTTTTCCACTGTTGCATAATAAATTACCACAAACTTAGCAGCTTAAAACAACATACTTTTTTTTTTTTTTGAGACCGAGTTTCACTCTTGTTACCCAGGCTGGAGTGCAATGGCATGATCTCGGCTCACCGCAACCTCCACCTCCTGGGTTCAGGCAATTCTCCTGCCTCAGCCTCCTGAGTAGCTGGGATTATAGGCACGTGCCACCGTGCCTGGCTAATTTTTTGTATTTTTAGTAGAGACGGGGTTTCACCATGTTGACCAGGATGGTCTGGATCTCTTGACCTCGTGATCCACCTGACTTGGCCTCCCAAACTGCTGGGATTACAGGCTTGAGCCACCGCGCCTGGCCAAAACAACATACATTTATTATCTCAGGAGTCCAGGCATGGCTTAGCTGGGACTCTGCAGGGCTGTAAGCAAAATTTTGGCAAGTACTGAGTTCTCATCTAGAGGCTCAACTGGGGAAGGCGTCTGCTTCCAAACTCATCCAGATCGTTGACAGAATTCATTTCCTTGCACTTGCAAGACTGGGGCCCTGGCTTCTTACTAGCTTTTGGCTGGAGGTCCTCAGTTCCTTGCTGTGTGGCCTCTCAACATTGCTGCTTAATTGTTCAAAGCCAGCAAGGGAGAAAGTTTCTAGAGTGTTTCCTAACAAGACAGGGTCATATATAATGTAGCATGATCATAGGAGTAACATCATATCACCTTCATCAAATTCTCAGTTAGAAGTAAGTCATAGGTTCTGTCCACACTCAAGGGGAGGAGATTGTATGACAGTATGACTCTCTTCGACAAGGGTCATGGGAAGCTGCCTTCAGCATGTGCCTGCCATACCATTACTAAGGTAGATTCTAAACTTTTCCTACATTTTTTTTTTTGAGAGGGTGTCTCGCTCGGTCGCCCAGGCTGGAGTGCAGTGGCACAATCTTGGCTCACTGCAACCTCCACCTCCTGGGTTCAAGCAATTTTCTGCTTCTGTAGCTGGGACTACAGGTATGTGACACCACACCCAGCTAGTTCTTAATATTTTTAGTAGAGATGGGGTTTCACTATGTTAGGCAGGATGGTCTCCATCTCCTGACCTTGTGATCTACCCGCCTTGGACTCCCAAAGTGTCTTCCAACATTTTTAAAAACACAACTTTGAATGACCATACTTGAAGCTCACGCTTATAATCCCAGCACTTTGGGAGGCCAAGGCAGGCAAATCAACAGCACCCTGGCCAGCATGGGGAAACCCCATCTCTACCGAAAATACAAAGATTAGCTGGGCATGGTGGTGCACGCCCATAATCCCAGCTACTCAGGAGGCTGGGGCATGAGTCACTTGAACCCAGGAGGCAGACGTTGCAGTGAGCCAAGATCATGCCAGGGCACTCCAGCCTGGGTGACAGAGTGAGACTCTGTCTTTAAGCAAACAATCAATAAAAGTTTACTGTCTTTTTGCATAGTGATGAAATTATTTTCAACATTTTAGGAAGTAAAAATAAGCCTCTCTTCTTCCTGACCATAATTTGGGAAGCGAAGATTGATTCTTAAAATGAGCTCCCTTAATGGTAGAATTTTCTGTTTATTATTGTGTTTGTATGGTTTTTAGAAGTCAAAAAATGTGTTTTAGGAACAGAATTAAAGGGTCAAATAATTTTCCTTAATGCCCCTAAATAAGAGCAATAAAAAATATACAGTCCCCAAATCCAGCTTTTAGAAAAGCATTTTAGTCTTTTAGAAATATTTTTCTTCACCTGCCAACCTAGAAAACACAAATGATCCCACAAAGAAAGACCTCTTCCCGGTTCTTCCCAGAGTCAGGAAAAGCTGGGTTGAGAGGGCGGAAAAAAAAAGAAGAAAAAGGAAACATACCCAAACACATGCAGGCACAGTTAAACCAAGCAAAATTCTATAATTGCCTCTAAAATGATTGGTCTCTCTCTCTCTTTTTTTGCTCATGTTAATAGCAAAGTTCAATTTGGGTAGTAGCACTTTGGAAATATATTTCATTCTGAAACATTCTATCATTACAGTTATTGCTTTCAGCACCTATTGATTGCAAATGGTTTTGCTGTTTTAATTTGTCTGAAAACCATTAAACTTTGTATGGTACTTTCTTATCTAGGTATCAGCAAACACAGAGGATTCTTCTATGAGTGGCTACTTGTACAGATCAAAGGGCAATAAAAAACCCTGGAAACACTTTTGGTTTGTCATAAAAAATAAAGTACTATACGTATGCTGCAAGTGAGGTAAGTTCTGAAATCTAAAGATGAGTAATTTAGGGTTTTGTAATGTCAACTAAAAGTCGTTACAATATTTTAAAAATCCATTTGTTTCATATATGATTTTTTGATTTGCTTTTGGATGGGGGAGGTGTTGTGGCTGTTATTTTTAATGTGAACAGTGTTCTTGTTTTGTACCTGGAGAGCACTTTCTCAAATGTGCTAGGAATTTTATTAAAATGCAACTTTTAGTGTGTGTTGTGTGAACTACTAATTACTTTATTGAAGGCAGAGCTGTGGCCAGGCACAGTGCCTCACACCTGTAATCCCAGCACTTTGGGAGGCTGAGAGGGGTGGATCACCTAAGGTCAGGAGTTCAAGACCAGTCTGGCCAATATGATGAAACTCCGTCTCTACTAAAAATATAAAAATTTAGCTGGCCATGGTGGTTGGTGCCTGTAATCCCAGCTACGTGGGAGGCTGAAGCAGGAGAATTGCTTGAACACAGGAGGCAGAATCTGCAGTGAGCCGAGATTGCACCATTGCATTCCAGCCTGGATGGCAGAGTGAGATTGTCTCAAAAAAAAAAAAAGGCAGAACTGTGTTTCTGCTAAGCTCTTTTATACTCCCTTTACTGTCATCCTCAGATTGTAGTGATCTGACAGCAGCATAGATAAGACAGGCTTTTGGGACTATAAACAATTTCTAGCAGTTTACTCTAATTTTGTCCTTTTCTCCTATCTGATCACCTTATGTTCCACATGCCTATGAAAACCAGTGCTCTAGGGTCCATACTTTTCTTCAGTGGGATCCAGGTAAATAGCTTACCTTTCTGAGCTGTTTTCTGCATCCATAAATGAAAGTAATTTCTATTGCTTTGCCTTCCTTGGTTTAGTGAGGATATTGTGAAATTCAGTAGATGTGAAGATGCCAAAAATTGTGTGCCACAGGGCATATTAGGGTACCTAGGGAGGGAGTGGCTGGATGAATATGGTTGAATAAATGAAAAATGAATAAGCTGTTAGAATTATCATTGCTTTATATGTGAAAAATCGAAATTAAATTAGAGCTGTCGTAGATCAAGAGTCTTCAAATCGGAATTTTTGTCTTAATCTGAAAACCTTTCTCCATTTATGTGTTTTTAAATTAGGACGTGGCCGCTTTGGAGAGTCAGCCTTTATTAGGATTCACTGTCATTCAAGTTAAAGATGAGAATTCAGAGGCTAAAGTCTTTCAGTTACTGCACAAAAACATGTTATTTTATGTATTCAAAGCAGAGGACGCACATTCAGCTCAGAGGTAAGTAATCTAGCCATATTTTTCTTTTATTCGTGAGATTGCAGTTTTTTAATGGTTGCTTGTAAAATGCCCTACTTTAAGTCATGGGGACAACTCAAAATTTAAATTAGAGATTCTAATTGGAAAGATTTAACATATTATTCAAACTCTTCAGAATTGTTTTGGAGACAAGGCAAGGGTATCCGGAATATTTTCAGGAGGCAGAGGGGAAAAGAAAATAGGTAGTCCTATGCAAAGTATTTTGTCCACACATGACCTCAGAGGAAGCAGCATGATGCTGCTCTGCTCAAAGGAAGGAAGGCTAAAGCATCTGACCTCTCCTTCTGTGAGGGTGAGAATCTTCCCTTGAAACATTCCAGGGCTTTGGCAACGCAGCTATTCAGCCACGGAACAGCAGGAGTTTAAACAGCTGCTCGCTAACTTCTTTGGGGAAAAGGTCAAATGCATTAAGCGACTCCCATGCTGTTCCCAGTATCTGAGTAGAAGGAAATGGGTATCAGTTTAGATGGCAAAGGCTGTTTTGAAACAGTCTCTTCAGAATTTGAGCAAGAATCTTTCCTTAGGTGTTACCAGTTTGCTTAACATAGAGACGCATATCTCTGTGAAATCAGGTATCTTTTGAACAAAATAGTTCAGTTCATCTCCCTTTGATTTGATTTTTACTTGGCCTCACAAAATAACACATTTTTGTTTTCAGGAAGAGGTGTTCATGTGTTCACCACAAGCTTAGAAGTGCATGAAAATAAAAAAGAAAGCTTTGAGTCAGCAAGGCTTTTAGTTTCTTAAGGCTTGTAAGATTAATGTACCAGAATGACACACATCCCTGAATACCAACCGGGTACAATGTTACAAACACTCTACAGGACTCTTTTTTCAGTCTATTTTAGGATATGCAACAGTATATAGCTATTCTTCCAAATATTTTCTTTTGGCTGCTGAAGAAGATTTTTAAATTATGTCACTTAACTATCTTTTCTACAAAAATTAGACAAAATAGTGATTGCTCTAAGATTCTGTCAGATACCACCTTCCTTATAGTTTTCATCTGTATTCATCAAACTGAAAAAAATTACTGCTTTTCTTTTTTTTTTTGTTTTTTTGTTTTTTGGGCGGGGGGGAAGGCAGGAAGGAAGGGAATAAGGACGGTAGGGAGGAAGGAAGGGATGAAGGAAGGATACTGCTTTTCAATATATGTCATCTTTTGCTCATATCATTGAGTTGACAAGATAGAAATGCCACCAAAACAGAATTAAATGTAGTTGGGGAAAGGAAGTCAGCTCACTTGTAATTTAGAATTGACCCATGCTATAAGTTTCACTTTATTAATGTTATATGAGTTGCTTTTTTAAATACATGACAGAATATTAAAATGTATTAATTTTAGTGGAAAATTTGGGGGCTTTTTAAAAGCCTTGCTATGGCAGTATAAACTTATTTGCTATTTATGTTCAATATTAAATTTTTGAAAAGTTCTTAATATTTGAACTGAATCTGTTATAGGTTGCTTTTACTAATTAAACTGAGTGATTTCAAGTGTTCATAGTTCTCTGGATTCTCTTCTGTACATAATTTTTTTTGTAATAGAGACAGGGTCTCGCCATGTTGCTTAGGCTGGTCTCAAACTCCTGGGCTCAAGCAGTCCACCCATCTCGGCCTCCCAAAGTGCTGGGATTACAAGTGCAAGCCACCATGCCCAGCCTACATAAAATATTACTGTAAGAAATGATATTTTCTTAAGAAAGAAAAAAGTTCAGAAGCGATTACATTAATTGGGAGGAAAAAGACTACTCCCAAGTTATCTTCTGAATAATTGCAGCTGTGTATATTCTCAAATAAAAGACTAAAGAATTTTGGAAAGACTTCTGTGAAACTTTGAGAAGCTCTTTTTTAAAATTTTTTTTTTTAGACGGAGTCTCACTTTGTCACCCAGGCTGAGTGCAGTGGCGTGATCTCAGTTCACTGCAACGTCCGCCTCCCAGGTTCAAGTGATTTTCCTACCTCAGCCTCCTGAGTAGCTGGGATTACAGACACACACCACCACACCCAGCTAATTTTTGTATTTTAGTAGAGATAGGGTTTCACTATATTGGCCAGCCTGGTCTCAAACTCCTGTCCTTGGGTGATCCGCCCACCTTGGCCTCCAAAAGTGCTGGGATTACAGGCATGAGCCATCGCACCCAACCGAAAAGCATGCAAACGTTCGATCAACACTAGATGCCCTTTTTTTAAATTGCAAATATTGAAACAGGTCTAGACTAGGGGATACACAAGGAAACTGGTTGTAAAGTTAAGGTAGGAGGAGACAGGGAGCTAGTTTTCCTAAAAGCACTGAGTCAGATTCCAGATGAAAAAGAAGTTGTAATAAAGCCTTCACTGACATGTCAACTTCCAAAATAAATTAATTGGTAGCATCAAGACTTCATAGAATGTTTACACATGAAATGGTCCTTTCCTTATGCCTATCAGAAATGAGGGACACACTTTCCAGGCTAAATTTTGGACCAAATTACCAAATAAGGGTCATCCCATGTATGCAGAAAACCAATTTGCTACAGGGAAGGATCTTATCTATGTTGTTATGGTAATGAAGTCCACAGGCCCAGCTGTCATCTATATGCTATTCACATGTCAGATGATCAGGTTTTATAAATCTAACAGATTTCTCTTATTAATAGGTGGATAGAAGCATTTCAGGAAGGCACAGTATTGTAGCAGTATTGGTTTCATCTCTTCTGTGATTCCAAAGAGGTGGAATTTCATCAGATTGGAGTAAATGCAATTTGAAAATTGTGTAAAAATGAACACTGCCAAGATAAAGCCAACCAAACTCTTCATCAGTTAAAGAAATTGTTTTGTGAGGTATAAGTAATTTTTAAAAAGTGTTTTTTTGTGTGTGTATGTTATTTATTAAAATTTTGATGTTTACTTAATGGTCAGAATTATTTCTGAGACACACTGAATTCTAAAGTACCATTTCTTTAGAGACCAGAAAAACTATCTTAATACTGTATACTGTATTAACTGTTTGTGACATAGTCCACAGTTTTCTTGCCTTACATTTTCACATTTTTACTGGTGGAAAGTCTTTGTAAGGAAAAAACAAATAGCAAGGAGCAAATGTCCACAAAGTGCTTGGTTTAGGAATTGTGTTTATTATAAAACTGCTGATGAAAAAACTGCATGTCTTTGAATCAATAAACTTGGGTGAATTTTTGTACTTTTTAATGGAAAAATATGGCCAGCTTCTACCTCAGTAACTATGAACTGAAATTTCAGCAAATTACCTAAAGTATTTCTATTGTTAGGTACCTCTTTGTCAAGAGTTAATATTACATCATCAAAGAATTATAGCAAGGGGATAGAATCTGAATTTTTTAAAACTGTGAGTCAGAATGAAGATGATTTTATTTGCAGAATAGCACAAATAAACAACTCTTGGCTTTTAAGTCCAGTCTTTTTAAAAAATCTACCATTTCAAAACAAACATAAATGTATCATTTTTTAAAATAGCAAAATATAGCATTATGTTACATAATATCCCTGCTATTATAAGAGTTCTAAGCCCAAGTCATTGGTAGTATTTGCATCTAAAAGTAATGGTACATTTCTAAAAATATTGTGCTTTACAAATGGAACTGGAATTACTATATCAGAAAAGCACCATTCTAAGCCAGTAATAACTGAAATTCTATAGTATTCATTTTCAAAAGGTCTTTTTCTATCACTTTGTGATATCTTCCCTCGTAATTAAAAAAAAAATCCTTTCTCTTTAAGCAGCTGTCAGCATACCTCCTTAGGAAAGATTTAGATTCATAATTCTGGTGCACTTACTGTTTAACATATGAACTACCTTGTACATAAAACTGTTGATGAGCAGAAGAAAATGAAATAACATTGTGATACAGCCATTCCTGAGGTTCACAATATACAATTTGTTAACTAATTTTAAACTACAAATTATCTTAATGGCCATGAGTGGTGGCTCATGCTCAGCATTTTGGGAGGCTGAGGCCAGTGATCACCTGAGGTCAGGAGTTCGAGACCAGCCTGGCCAACATGGTGAAGCCCCATCTCTACTAAAAATACAAAAATTAGTTGGACATGGTGGCACATGCCTGTAGTCCCAGCTACTCGGGAGGCTGAGGCAGTAGAATTGCTTGAACCCAGGAGGCGAAGGTTGCAGTGAGCTGAGATGGTGCTACTGCACTTCAGCCTGGTTGGTAGAGTGAGACTCCATCTCAGAAAAAAAAAGAAAAGGAAAGGAAAATAATTAAACAGCAAGGCTATTCAAATAATATTCTTTAAAGTGTATAGAGTTTTCCTTTCTGCTTCTAAATAAAGGATTTCCTAATTCAATGTGATCCTTAACAGCAGCCACCAGGATTACTGAGTGCCTTTATGGGGCCTTTTGAATGGTGTTTGGTACAGCACCAGAGTCCCTACTAGATCTAGAGTTGGCTGCTGTAGTTTTTTGTGGCTATTTTTTTTTTTTGCCATGGAGTCATTTTAAATGTGTTGCAACCTCCTACACAATCCTAACATGCCATGTCCTCAGTCTTTCTGTCATAGCAGGTACACTAAAATTTCTTTGTAGCTCACTTAATTTATATAAAGATCACATAAAGGCCGAGCACAGTGGCTCACACCTATAATCCCAGCACTTTGGGGGGTCAAGGTGGGTGGATCATGAGGTCAAGAGATCAAGACCATCCTGGTCAACATGGTGAAACCCCATCTCTACTAAAAATACAAAAATTAGCTGGGCATGGTGGCACATGCCTGTAGTCCCTGCTACTCAGGAGGCTGAGGCAGGAGAATTGTTTGAACCCAGGAGGCGGAGGTTGCGGTGAGCCGAGATTGCACCATTGCACTCCAGCCTGGGCAACAAGAGTGAAACTATCTCAAAAAAAAAAAAAAAAATCAAATAAATAAGGCTTCCATGTTAAAATCCTTGCAGTTTTTAAATATATTCTTTTTGGAGGCCAAAGTTATACCTTATAAAGTATTTCCTTCTGCTGTAGTCTGGCATTTAGCAAGACAAGTTATTTGGGTTTTCTTTCCCTCCTCTTGAGCTCTCAGCCTTCTGACTACAAGGTTTTGGCTCAAGCCTTAGAATCTAAAAAATGTCAGCCAGGCTATTCTGTCTTGCAAGATCTGGCTCAATCATGAACCATTTCTGAGTCTAAAGAGAGTGAGAGAGGGGCTGCACGCAGTGGCTCACACCTGTAATCCCGGCACTTTGGGAGGCTGAGGCAGGCAGATCATGAGGTCGAGAGATCAAGACCATCCTGGCCAACATGGTGAAACCCCGTCTCTACTAAAAATACAAAAATCAGCTGGGTGTGGTGGCTCATGACTGTAGTCCTAGCTACTCAGGAGGCGGAGGCAGGAGAATCACTTGAACCCAGGAGGTGGAGGTTACAGTAAGCTGAGATCACGTCACTGCACTCCAACCTGGTGACAGAGTGAGACTCCATCTCAAATAAAAAAGTTTGAGAGGGACGAAACCTGGCACAAACTAACAGTCCCTTTAATTACATGTAAAATGCATGTGACTGTATTAGCAATTGGCTTATCCCCATGGAGGGTTTAGAAGAATGTTTAGTCTTTGTAGAAGCTATCCAGTTATTCTCCCAAAAAGATGTTTTAAATGTGGATGGGTATTACATTCCCCTGCCCTTTTATCAGTCCTTCATAACTTACTAAAGCTGATCAATTGTTATTTATGTAACGTGGCTCATTCAGTGTCAACTAAGAAGCTAATTATATACAATTTATTGTAAAAAAAAACTATAAAAATATCTTTTGATAGCTATTATTTAGAGGTAAAAATGATACTGGGTGCAATCTCTAAATGGGGAGAAAAGTGTTATTAGTATATGTGTATATATATATATATATATATATATATATATATCCCCCCTAAAATACTGTATTTATTATACACATGTGTGTGCCTGTGCTTCCAGCAAACCCTTTTTCAGGTGTCTCCTTTAAATTCATAAGGAGGAGAGAGGGCATTTATAAAGCTAAGTTTAACACGATGCTAAACATAACGCAGATGAGACGCCAGGCTGACCCAGGGGAAGGCTGGCATTCTTAGTGAGTGTCCCCAACTCGTAGTCCACCTTTATCTGTGGCAGCTATAAATGTACAGGACCCACGAGAGTCCTAAGAAATGAGAGCAGTTATCTCTGCTGTCATCCACGTTCTGAACCTCTTTCCAATCTCTTTTCCCCTTTTCTGTAATGTACCCAGCATCCCCCATTGTCTTTTGGTTTCCCAAGATGCTTGATTCTTTGGTTTAGTAGCATTTCTTAAAATGAGATCATCAGACCAATCCTTGATTTACATGAACGCTGTAATGACACAACAAAGAGAAGGCGACAGTTTTAAAGTATAGTAGTCAGCCAAATGCATATTTTATATTTGGTTCATAGAATATATCTAGATGTGAGGAAAGTCTCCTATTTGGTAATTTAGTTACAATGTAAATGTTTTATCACAGCATATGTTGGTATGTTTTGGAGTGTGCTTCCATTGTGTTCAGCTTTTGAAAAGTTTGAATTCCATTTTAGTCAAATGTAGTTAATGGGATTTCCAGAGATATATATTCTGTTTTCTTATTGTACTGCACATTCCTTGAAGGCAGATACTGTACTTAATATATCACTTTCTTCCATAATACTGCCCTAGGTCTTTTTCGTTTTTAAGAGACCGGGTCTCATTATGTTGCCCAGGCTGGACTCAGATGCTTGGACTCAAGCAATCAGTCCTCCCACCTAAGCCTCTGGAGTAGCTGGGACTACAGGGGCATGCACCACCAGGCCTGGCTTCCTGGGTCTTTCAGGAGAGAATATTTGTGCAATTGAATAGAAGAAAGAGCAGGATTCTTGTCATCAACAACTCCAACACAGTCCCAAAATATCCACGTTGTAACCTAGATCTTAGGCCTACTGTCTCCACTGTCCTGCAAAGCCACATTTGCAATTACCTATTGGCTGTCTATAGGAGTCCTCAAACATCTCAGACTTTACAAGAATAAAACTCAACTTTCTTCCCATTCAAACCTGTTTATATTCTTCTGTAAGAGAAAGATACCATTTGAGGCTCCAGAATCTGCCTCTAACTCTCAACAAGACTGCAATTACTCTTGTATCCTTTCCATCCTCATTGCCCTGCTGTTATTAGGTAGGCCCTGTTTCGGGTTCTTGTTGCTTGTTCCTGTGTTGGCAATAACATCTAATTCCAATGCCTTTGTGTGGTCCCATTTTAAACACTGCCAGAGCAGTCTTCGAACAACATAGCTCTAATCTAGTTTCATCCCCACTTCTGCATGCTTTAGTGGCTTTCCCAGTGGCTTGGCATGAACACTTCCTCAGTTGTCATACACTCCAGCTAACTCTGACCCAGCCTTTCTCTGTTGACACAGTTTCCTTTTTTCTTCATTCACCCCATTCGAATCTGTGTTTATCTAAGACTTCCCTGTGATAACTGCCCCACAGTCTTTCTCTCCCCTGTTCCTCCAGACTAGATCCTGTCTCCTTCCTATAGCTCCCACACAGCCTGTAGTTCATCAGCTTTTGTGTGGGACCTTCTGTCCCTAAAGACAACTTATTCAAGATTTCCCCAGGCATCTGGCAGAGTGCCTTGCAAGCAGTGGACACCCAGTATTTGCTGAATAAAATTCCTTCCTATGAGTCCCTTCTGATTTTTTTTTTAAGTGCTTCTAATATACATATCATTCTGGGGCTTATGCCACTTTCATCTTCTAAAGGAAAATCTTACCTATGACATTTTCCCTTACAAGAGATCATTGTTTTGAGGAGGATTTTTTTTGAAAGATAAAGGTAGAAGGAAATTTTTTTAAAGCCTAAATATCAAATTCCTTTTCGTTTGTGGTTGGGGGAAGGGATGAAGAGCAACTTGGTCTTTCATATGAGTTGGTCATAGCATATAAGAACCAATCTTGAAATACCATTGTTTTTTTCTAAATGACTTATTATGTATTTCTAGAAATACTTTGTACTTAAAGTGATAAGTTTGTATCTTATTGTCCATATATACTTTATAAATAAAAATTAGCATTGTAAATAATGTTCATATGTATTATATTTATACAAAATAAATTTACTATAATATCTTCGGCTGGTGTGACTGTTCCCCTCCCCTCTGCCCCCAAGACAGTCTCACTCTGTTGCCAGGCTGGAATGCAGTGGCGGGTTATCGGCTCACTGTAACCTTTGCCTCCTGGGTTCAAGCAATTCTCCTGCCTCAGCCTCCTGAGAAGCTAGAATAACAGGTGCACACCACCATGCCTGGCTACTTTTCTGTATTTTTAGTAGAGATAGGGTTTCACCATGTTGGCCAGACTGGTCTCAAACTCCTGACCTCAGGTGATCTGCCCTCCTCCCAAGCGCTGGGATCACAGGCATGAGCCGCCATGCCCAGCTGTGATGTGTCTTTTAAACCATACCTTTCTTTAGAGTCACACATACATTTACTTATTTATTTTTATTATTTTCAGATGGAGTCTTGCTCTGTCAACAGGCTAGAGTGCAGTGGTGCAATCTCAGCTCACTGCAATTTCCGCCTCCCTGTTTTTAGCTGGGACTACAGGTGTGCGCCTACACACCCAGCTAATTTTTGTATTTTTAGTAGAGACGAGGTTTCACCATATTGGCCAGGATGGTCTCTATCTTTTGACCTCACGATCTGCCCACCTTGGCTTTCCAAACTGCTGGGATTACAGGCATGAGCCACCGTGCTGCCCAGCTCTTAATACTTTTTGAGATTGAGTCTTGCTCTGTCACCCAGGCTGGAGTGCAGTGGCGTGATCTTGGCTCACTGCAACCTCCACCTCCCAGGTTCAAGTGATTCTCGTGCCTCAGCCTCCCGCGTAGCTGGGATTACAGCCATGTGTCACCATGCCCGACTAATTTTTGTATTTTTAGTAGACACAGAGTTTCACCATGTTGGACAGGCTGCTCTTGAACTCCTGACCTTAAGTGACCCGCCAGCCTTCAAAGTGCTGAGATTACAGGCATGAGCTATGGAGCCTGGTCAGCATCATACGTTTGAAGATGAACTTTGGCCAGGCCTGGTGGCTCACACCTGTAATCCCAGACTTTTGGGAGGCCAAGGCAGGTGGATCACTTGAGGTCAGGAGTTCGAGACCAGCCTGGCTAACATGGTGAAACCCCACCTCCACTAAAAATACAAAAACCTCAGCCAAACATTGTGGTGCAGGCCTGTAATCCCAGCTATGGGAGGCTGAGGCACAAGGATCACTTGAACCCAGGAGGCAGAGGTTGCAGTGAGCCAAGATCACACCACTTCACTCCAGCCTGGGCAACAGAGTGAGACTCCATCTCAGAAATAAAGATGAATTTCATTTACCTCTTTTCCCAAAGCATAATTAATGGAAAAACTTCTTTGCCTACAAATGATTTTCCTCAAATGGCTTTTACTTTCAAGTTTTAACAAATCAACTTATTGTGACTTAAGTGAATTAACTGGGTGACAAGGGGTGACCACAAGCATCACTACAGGCATACCTATTCTGCACCAAGAATAGAGAAGAGGTCTCAGATTGCCTGTTTCCATTGGGCCTATGGTGTAGTCATGCCCTGCACAACAATATTTCAGTCAAGGACAGACGACATATACAACAATGGTTGCATAAGATTATAATCCCGTTTTTACTGTACTTTTTATGTTTATTTTCCTAAAGGATTTACTGTACTTTTTTATGTTGATATATCTGATACACAAATACCTACCATTGTGTTACAACTGTGCCCAGTATTCAGTACAGTAACATGCTGTATACAGGTTTGTCCTCGGGTTGTGACCTAAGAGCAATAGACTACAACATGCAGCCTAGGTGTGTCTAGGCTAGACCATCTAGGCTTGGGTAAGTATGCTCTATGATGAGTGTACTTAATGAAATTGCCTGAGGACTCGTTTCTCAGGACATGTCCCTGACGTGACTACACTTTCATGATTTTCACCTTTGGGACCAGCTTATGGGTATTGGCAGGGGGTCTCCCTTAAAACTAAACCAAACATACAACAAATAATGCTAAAAGGTAGAGGTGATTTAAAAAAAAAAAAAAAAAAAAAAAAACAGAGTCTCACTCTTGCCCAGGATGGAATGCAATGGTGCGAACACTGGACCAGACTCCTGGGCTCAAGCAATCCTCCCATCTCGGCCTCCTCAGTAACTAGGACTACAGTCCTACAGCACCATGCCTGGCTAGCTTTTTATTTTTATTTGTTTTAAAGAGATGAAGTCTCACTATGTTGCCCAGGTGGGTCTCAAACCTCTGGCATCAAGCAAGCCTCCTGCCTTGGCCTCCCAAAGCTCTGGGGGCAGGAGCCACTATGCTCAGCAGAGGTCAATTTTTAATGAGGGATAAGCATAGTTTTACTTATTAGGGAATTTCATGCCTTGATCCTTGTCCATCTGCCTAGTGCCAGAGAGAAACAGTTACTGGGAATGAGATGTTCTCATTCCCAGCAAACATTTATTTTTCCTTCCTTTGATTTCTGCCCTGAGTCTGTGGTTGCTTTCCTACAGTGCCGAGCTAAGCAAGATAAAACAAATTTCATGGTAAAACAAAGGAAAATAAATATTAAAAAATAATAATAGAAATTTCAGGAATGCTTCAAAATCTAAAGCACAGAATACTCTGCACACAGGGTAGTTACTCCTGTCATACCTTGCTGCTACGGGTAGTCGCCATCAGAAAGTGATGTTCCACTAATGTTTCTTCCTTTCACAATTAAAAAAAATTTGTAGAAGCAGGGTTTTGTTATCTTGCCCAAGCTGGTCTCCAACTGCTGGCCCCGAGTGATCCTGCCTTGGCCTCCCAGCAGCCACCCTGCCCAGCTCTCGTTTCATAAATCCAACTAGCAGGCATTGTCCTATGTGTTTGGTAATACACCCTTTGCAAAACAGACAAAAACCAGCCATTGAGGAACACATACATACACACACATACACACACACACACACACACATATATATATACCGTGCCCATTGTCTAGTGATTATATATATATATATATATATATATATAGAGAGAGAGAGAGAGAGAGAGATACATAGATATATACATGTATATACAGAAAGAAACTCATTCTGTCACCCAGGCTGGAGTGCAGTGGTGTGAACCTGGCTCACTGCAGTCTTGACCTCTTGGACTCAGGTGATCCTTCCCCCTCAGCCTCCAAGTAATTGGGATAACAGGCACGCGCTATCAGGGCCTGCTAATTGTTTTGTAGAGACGGTGTTTCGCCATATTGGCCAGGCTGGACTCGAACTCCTGGGCTCAAGTGGTCCGTCCACCTCTGCCTCCCAACTTGTTGGGATTACAGGCGTGAGCTACCGTGCCCATTGTCTAGTGATTATATTGTTGCCCCGTTTAGCCATTACATCTCTTTACTCACAATAGTTTGTAAGTGAAACTTTGCCTTACCAGATGCATGAGTCGGCCTCAGCTTGTCATTATAAAGTTTAAATGTGATTGGAATCTACCCAGAGCCCAGTTTTCCAGAAATTAGAAAGAGATATGCCTAAGACCCAGAGGGTTATTTATTACACAAATCTGAAACATTGACTCAAAAATTTCCCTAATGCCCACCTTTGGCATATCAGCTTAAACCTTTGCAGGTGGCTTCAAAAAATATCTCGCGGGTAACGCGCAGCTCTGGCGGGGCACTCTGCCTCCAAGCCAAAAGGGGGCAGTGGACTCACAGAGCCGCGGTGCGGCCCTCTGATCCCTTCACCCCACCCTGGGAACGTCACGACCTCCTCTCGCCGCTTCGCCACGTTGCTAATGCGCAGGCGCAGGCGGGATCGCGCACCGCCGAGCCGAGAGAGGGGTCACGAACTCTGACCTCCCCCAGTACACAAACCCAGAAAGCTCCCTTCCCCCGTGATTCTCGATTCCCCTCTGCTCCCATCAGCTTCCTCCAAATTCTCTTCCTGGACAGAGCGCCCCCCCATCCAGCAGTGGCAGCCGCGCGACTGTCGCGTCGGCGCCCGACGCAGAAGACAGCGCGGCGCAGAGGCGCCGGTAAGAAACCCTAGGTGGGGACACAGGCGACCGCGCCGGGGGTGGGTATGGGGGGGTGCCCTTTACCCCAACTGCCAACGGACGCAGTCCCAGCCCATCCCGCGGCCTCCGCACTCCAGCTGGCGGGGCTGTTCGGTCTAGAAGTGCCGCTTTGGCGTGATCGAGTTGGGCTGGGAGCGCGGAGCTGTGGCGCCGGATGCATCTGGGGCCACGGGAGAGGCGCGGGCGGCGGGACGCGGGACCGGACGGCGAGGGCTCGGAGCACCAGCCTCCTCTGACCTTTAACCTGCGGGGAAAGCTTCCGCGGCGCCGCAGTTTTCCCCGCCCCGGGGAGCCGCGCGCAGCGCCCAGGCCTAGAAGGCGCCTGGCGAACGCGGGCGCTGGTGGGATCAGGGAGAGGCCGACCCTCGGCTGGGGGCCGCAAGCCCCAGCCTGCATCCCGTCCCTAACTCTCGTGCCTACATGGGACCGACAGAATGACGCCCTCCACTTTCACTTTTCTCTCATGACAAATCGGGCCAGGGTCGTCGCTGCCTGCAGACCTGGATCTTATAAAAAACGGAACGGCCCAGTGTCCTCACTGCACTGAGCACGTCCAAGCTTCCGATAGCTCTTTTGTTAAGAAATTCTTCCTCCAACTCGTGCAGATACCATTTTTGTGCAGTATGAATGTTGCCAAGTTGTCTCATAATCTTCAGTAAGTAGGTCAGCCTTTAAACAAGTAACAGGAAAGGAAAAGCAAAAGATCTAAAATTAACGCCTTTAAGGTTTTTATACCTCTAGAAGTTCTAAATAGACCTTAAATTTTGAGGTTTTTTTGAACCATATCTGCTGTGTGGTTGATGATACTCGATGATTGTTTTTAAACTTTGCCAAAGTCCAGTTCGTAAATCGGAAAAAGTGATGTGTATTTCCGTCATTGAAAGTGGGTCACATGAAATGTTGCTAGTCTTTGTTTTTCAAGGGGTATGTTAGTTTCTTCTAGGAAGGGTTTTTTGTTTTATAGAAATGGTGGTGGTCCCATTTTGTTGTCCAGACTAATCTCTGGCCTCAAGCTG